TCCTCTGAAGACTATCAAAGTCTCAGAATTGCTTCTCTAGATACTGGGGAATGCCACCGGCTGGAAGGAATCATCACCGGCTGTGATATGGTGGTCATCGGCCAAGAATGCATCCATCGGCCATCGATGGGTTGCCGGTCGGCACTCTATGCAGTCGATCGGCAGAAAGTGCCTGCAGAACCTGTTTGACAGCAGCAGAGGACCGGACTTTGCATGGCAATGCAATTCAAGCAATGTATGCACCTACCAAGCCCCTTTTCATGTGTATGACTCAAAGGGACATGGTCCTTGGTTCTCGGACCACCAATCGCGCATTTCAATGCGTGATGGCCCAAGAGACCAAGCGTGTACGTTTTGATGTCAAATGCAACGCAAACCAACAAACCAAAGCCCAATTCCTATCACTAGATCAAGGAACAAGACATGCATACTAGATGCAATGCGACCTAGGCATGCGAGCTAAGGATGCAACATGGGAATGCAAGATGTACATATGAGCATGCAAACAAACATGCAAGATAAGCATGCAAGCAAGCAAAGGATGGACTTAAGCATGATTTAGGCAGCTCTAATTAGGCCCAAACAGTGGCCATAAGTGCTATGAAATGGGGACTAAACACACATACATACATGCACATGTTAAAGGGCTAACACTCAAGCACAAAAGGGCAACTCTCAAGCACACTTGAAAGAGGCATAACATGGACACATGGCATGCATTATAACCCTTGAAAACATGTAGGAAATGATTCCAAAATCAATCTACCAATGCAAGCTATGCATGCAACCAGGCCCAAGGACCTAAAACATGATCATATGACTCATGAAGCAAATGACCAAATTGAATCAAAACAGTCATCTAAATGACCTAATCCTAAAGGCTTACACAATGGCACAAACATGAAGCATGAAACATCAACTTTTGAAGCATCAAAAGGGCCATGAAATGCAAGCATATGAGCATGCTAAGTGGACTGAAATGACATGGTGGATAGTTCCAAACCACTAAATCAATGCAAGAATACATGCTATACATTCATACACTTAAGGTCAACAAACCAAAAATGCAAAGAGGGCATATAATGCATGTCATGGCCGACCAAAATGACTAAGGACAGACCTCAAACATGGCAAAATAAGCACAAAAGCTTCACAAAGCTAGGCCTAAAACATGCTAGAACAATGGTTTACAACCTAAGGCATGTTAAGGCAACAAAATGGCATTACAAGGCATGTATGCTAAGCAAGCATGGTGTACCAAAACCAACTAAAAACAGAGGCATATTATGACATAATAAGCACAAAAATCAGCTAAGGCATGGCCAACAAGAGGCTTAGCTAGGTGAAATTGGGAGGGGGGTGGCCCTCTCCTTCTTGGGACCTCAAGGCACCATCCTCACCTCTGAAATCCCTCAAGATTTCAGTGGTGAAGAGGCCCAAACACCAAAGTCTCGAAACTTGCTCAAAATGGCTCAAAATGGGGCCTTTCAAGGCCTAAGAGAGGTCAAACACCTCCAAACCACAAAACACTCTAAACAAACTATTTAGAGGGCCCAAAAAAAGAACTTTTTTATATTATATACTAAGCTCAAAAAAAGTTCTAAGATAGGAAAAAATAGTATGCAAGAATGGGGAATAAAGGGACTAGTTTCTTACCCTTGTAGACTTCTTTCACAAATGAAGCTCCAGCGGCTTCTTAAGCTCCAAACCAGCTCCAAAACTCTGAAAACAATCCTTTAGAACCTCAATAGCCAAGGAAAGGTGTAATGGTAGGTGTTTGTGTGCAATACTATGAACAAATACACCTAGAACACTCAAGAGAGAGAGATATAGAGATAGAATGTATATAAGTTCTAACCCTAGAACCAGAGCTTCTAACAATGTTTTTTCTCTCTAAAATGCCTAACCCTAAAGCCAAGAGAGGAGGGCTCCTCTTATAGAGAAGCCAATCTTGTAAAGCTTACTCAAGAAGCTAACAAGGAAGCCATCCCTCCACGTGTATGGAGGGGAACAAAATGCAAGCCAACTGTATTAAAATATCTGCAAAAGTAGATGAATAGTAGTCGGCTGCTCAAAATTGCCATTTTGACAAAATTGACTGCCGACCGGCAACAAAGAATGCTGATCGGGAATATACATTGCTGATGGCAACAAAACACCAGCCGGTGGCCTCTGGCCATGGCCGGTGATGTGTGGGGATGCCTCACAGGGCATTCCCTGCCCCTCCAAGGCAAAACACAAGTGTTTGGTGCAAAACCAGACACTAAACAGTCGAGTTCGGAGATCCTGAGGCAAGGCGCGTAGCCGAGACCTCCGGGAACTCCAAACGAACACAAACATGGATGATCACCGGGTGTTCAAACGGTGACGTCCAAGTCTTGGGGACGGTCAAAAATGGGGTGTCTACACATCTATGCACACACAGATGGAGGGAGAAAAATGGAGATAAAAACTGAATACAGAAAACAGGGGGTTAGGGCAACACTTCTAATTTGTACAAAGATGGAAATCAAAAGGACATTTAGAGAAAATGTGGTATGACATTAAAGAGATCATCATGGGTATTTTCAAAGAGAAGACAGGATATAACAGGGTACATAAGCTTTGTTAATTTGGCCTAGATACCATTCACTCTTGTAGTATTGAAATTCAAAAACAAAATACCTAATAAAACCTATAACGATTGCACTCTGGAGTAAAAAAACACAGCACCAAAAAATAAACATGTTTCAAAACCTGAAAGGTGAAATGAAAATTGAAAAATCTAAGAACCATAAAATTTCAGAGAACTTAACTGCTGGCACAATTTAGATTACTTGAGCAAGTTTAGAGAAACAGTTAATTTCCAATATAGTCATGAGAAGAAGTAATAGCAGTAGCTGAAAGCTACGTTTTATTTTACAATGCTAGAAAATTCGGATGGCTCACACTCTTTATTTCTCGTCTGACAAGCATACTTAAAAAGATAGTGTTGAGCACGTAACTTGCTATGGTGAGAAAGCAATGATTTATTGAATTTTCATTAACTGCAGTGATTTATTCTTGAAAGAGCCTTAAATTATGTGCATTGCTACCTTTTTAGCCTCTTTGAAGGAAATAAATTCAAAATCGAACTCGTACAATGTTTCATTGCGACCATTCTATTCAACATAAATGAGCTCAGAATCCTTGTATTAAAAACTAAAGTTAAAGGTCCAAATTATACCTCCAGTGAATTATTTGTACACCTGTGCTGATAACAACCATTTCCTTGGGTCATAGAACCCCTTACAAACTCAGTCTGTATTAATGATGAGGCCATACACCTACAAGAACGAACATAAGTTATGCCAATGCAGAATTCAAATGTGAGAATCTGAAAAAAAAAGTTCCATAAGCATATCTCACCTTGAGCTATGTCCTCTCACCTCACCCTACATTATGTCAGGTGCTCCAGCACTGTTCATGTCTGTGCATGATCCATCAGAATAAGCTACATAATAAGTGCAATAGTCAGCTAATGACGACTGCCCACCTGTGATGGCCAGGAATGGAAGTCAATATTCTATAATGGTTATTATTGTACATATTTAAACCAATGGTAATTATTGTATGTATTTAAACCAAACATGACTATCTAAAATATGACTATCTCCAGTGTGGGCTTGTGGGGTAAAAAATCATTGCCCACAAAGAAACACATGAAGATGAAGTCATCAACAATGCACTCAAAATCAAACTCAAGGCATATTAGGAATCCTCATTTCAATGGGAATCAAAACAGACCTGATAAGGCTTTTTGGGCACGACATCATCATCACCTTTCTCATCAAAATCCCCAGTCTTTCTCTTTGCCTTACCTTCGCAGTCTGCTGCTAAATGACCCACTTGACCACATAGGAAACATTTATCTTGTTGTCCTGGGGTAAATACGACCTAACAAGTAAATTCTGAAAATAGACTCAGAAAATCAAACAAAACATGGCATTTATTTCTCATTTTCCTACCTATGAACTTTAAATACAAAATTATAACCATTTTCCCAACTTAAACAATCATGCAAATTTGAACAAAAAATGTTAGTCAGGAGTCTTCAGAAAAAATGAATTATTATATCGTAATACACTAACCTCCCTGAGTATTGCAAAATGGACTTCATGGGTAGCCAAAGCCAACATGATTAAATCTGCATCCTGTTATGTGGCAACATGTTAAAATTCCAATAAGAACATTGCAATAACACTAAAGAACAACAAAACAGAAAGAAATTTATAATAGATTCACAGATAGGATAGAGAAGACGTACCAAACCATACAAATAATTCATTTTGGCGGCCGTTTCCCCTGTTGGAAGAAATAGAGAAATCTAAAAGCCTTACGCAAAAAAGGAGAAATTAAAAAGGGAAAAAGTTGCCATCCCTATTGGTCAGTTTCTAATTATTGATGGCCACTACTAAATGTGTGTGTGTGTGCCTGTGTCTGAGAGAGAGAGAGAGAGAGAGAGAGAGAGAGAGAGAGAGAGAGAAACACTAATAAATTCTCAGCATTTTGCATGATAGGGACCTAAAATCATTGTGCGAGAATTTTGGATTCTATGATTCTGAATGGGACAACAACTAACTACTAAGTAATATATATTCAAATGAAAGCTCTCTGTTAGACTATTACTAGGTGGATCAATGCATGATAGGGACCTAGGATTCTAGGACTCTCTTTGCTATTGTTTACTATTGAATGAATTAAAGAGGCCTCAAAAAAACAAGGGCAAAAAAAAAACAACGGCTGGGCTAAAGTCACCTTCTTGTTGCTGCAAAAAACAAATGAAATCAACTTCGACAAAAGGGAGGAAATCGACTTCGAGTGGCTCTTCTTGCTGCACTGCAAAAAAGAAGAAAAAAAAATGCAAAAAACCAAGAAGAAGAATCAAAGAAGAATTGAAGAATAAAAACGATGAAGAAGAAGAATCGAACAAAGGACACTCACTGGAATTTACTCAATGTGTAGCATTTTGGGGTTGGTTGTAAGAGTAACTAGGTTAGGTTTGTTATTTTGAAGTGTGTGTTTGAAGATTGGCTTGTGCAAGTTGTTCCATTACACAAAGGCAAAATAGCAAATGTGCCTGAAAGATTGAAAAATTGAAAGGTTAATTTGAAATTCTAAATTTGCTTTCCTCCTTACAGAAGAGTTTCAAGCTGTCAACTTTCACTTTCTATAAATATAGTTTATAAAAAGGCATTCAGCTTTCTCAAACATCATGTGTTGTGTTCCAAAAAAAAAAATAAAAAAATCATGTGTTGTGGCAAAAATTGTTCCCTACTGAAACTCTACTTCAGTAACACAATTTACTGTTGTATCTATCAATAAGTGCGCTTTTGACATAAAAATCTATAATTACTCTGACATTAAAAAAAAAAATTCAAGAATCACAACTAAACACTGCATTGAATTCCAGCCGGATCTTGGTTCCTTGTCCTCATAGAATGATATCCTCCTGTACACTAACATTAAGGGTCTTGTTTGGGAGCACGATGCTGTTAGTCACCACGACTTCATCTTCAACTGTCACAGCTTCTCCTGCATCAGAGAGAAAAACCCATTATTATGAGATGGTGTTCTGCTTTGGACACACGAGACATGAGAAGGATAGGGTGATTACCAAGGATGGTGATTCCAAGCTTGGCATTGTAGTCTCCTTCAGCCTGAACCACAAAATCAAAAGTAGGGTCAGTTGTAAAAACTAGAAAGAATGCACAAAGATTTGATCACATCAAGTATCAATACGTTTTTTAGCTTCAGTTGTCACAACAGCTCGCCACTATTGGACTTGGGAAATCTTTTGAAATGCCCGGGATGATAGAATCATTAAAATTTACAAGTGGCAACAAATTATTGACAGAGAGACAAAAAAATCTAGCATGTCAAGAGCTTCAACATATTGACATGTCAAAGACATTTAAAAGCTTTAACTTAATACCACACTGATAAACAAGGCGAATCAATTGGCAATTTTAGGAATATCAAATGCTTTCAGAACAGTGAAAATGTGATCAAGCTTACCTGGGCACGCAACCATTTCTCAACAATAGCATGCATAACTACTGTATTTTCCTGTCAGGAGATTATTAACAAATTAATCTCAGGTCTTAAGTGTAACTGTTCTATAACGTTTTTCAACTCCTTACCTTTATTTCAACGTCATCTAAGATGATGCAACTTATAAGCCTTACACCTGCTGCTATACGAACATTTGCTGAGATTGAAACATTAGGGCCAATCTGTTTAAATGAAAATGAACAAATTTAAATATACAAAATGGGAAAGAAAGGCTGAAAATCATGGAAAATATCCAATTCAGGATTCAAAACTAGTTTCAACATTTGGCATGGGAAAGAAAGGCTGAAAATCATGAAAAAGAAATTTCAAATCTCAAACATATTTTTGAATAAGAAATCTCAGATCTGAAACATATGTTATTGAATAAGAAATTTTGATAACATACATTGGTGCTTCAAACTTCAAATCTGACCTTCTCGAGGGGGAAAAAGAGATGATCTAGTCTCAATAACTGTAGCTAGGTTTAGATGTAGCGGTATAGACGATATTGCCATCAAGGAACGAGAAGAACCCCCAAAACACAACAATCTAGGGCTTCCTTCACTGTTCGAACTCAGATCTCACAACATAATAAGGCAACAAGAGAGTTGATCCAAACCCTAGGAGAAGAATCGACGAAAGGAAGAGCTTGAAAGAGAGAGAGTGAGAGAGAGACCGAGAGAGAGAGAGAGAGAGAGAGAGAGAAAGAGGATACGAAACTGAGATTGTAGACGGTGGCGCTCACCTTCGTAGACGATGCACGTGGTGGCAGCAGTGGAGCTTCAAAATCGCGACAGAGAACTTCGAAATCGAAATCACTCTGAGATTGGATCTGAGATGAATCACCGAGATGAAGAAGGTTGAATCGTAATATCTGAGACCGAAGGGTTTAGATAGAAAGAGAGAGTGAGCGAGTGAATGAGAGATTTGAGGGATCGATAATGAAGGTTTGAAGAAAGAGGGGTTCTGATTCTCACAGAGCTGTGAGACAGAGTGGGAGCGGGATAACATGGTGAGACATTTGAAAGCGTTTAAAAATGACTTGTATTGGTAAACGGTACTGTTTTAATTAAATCAAAATGCGACGTTTATAAAACGTCGCTAAATATTAGAAAAAGTGACATTTAAAAAAACGCCGTTAAATAAACGCCGTTAAATCTCATTTTTCCTGTAGTGAAATTTTTGATTTTCAATTTTTTTTTTTTTTTATAGTTGATTTGATGGTTGTCAAAGAAAAATTGTGTTTGTTTTGACTATTAATCTCTTCACTATTAATGTCCTCACTATCAATCCCTTCCATTCCACCTTTAAAAACAAAATCTCATTTAATGCTATGTTTCACTAATAATCTCTTCACTATTAATGTCCTCACTATCAATCCCTTCCATTAAGAGATATCGCCGGAGTCACTCTTGCATCTGTAATCAAAATCATTCCCAGCCCTGAAACATAGCACCATACCATCCCCATTCCCAGCTTTTACTTTAATTATATATGTATACACGTATCTTTGGGTAACGATGACTGGAGTTTTTGAACATAAAAAGAGAAAACAGCCGGAATCGAAAAATAGCATTCCCGGGAATCCATTTGAAATAGTGAATGTTTCTTCTTCTACCACCGTAAACACGGATTCCACAGAGTTGAGAATCAGTGATGATCCGAAGAAACTACTAGCCCTACTCGCAGATTTCGTTGGATTGTTCACAAATCACAGCAAGGATGATGTCTCGTCTAGCTCGGCTGACCAGGACCAGGATCTGGCCAACAAAATACTTGCTAACGTGGCCCTTTTGTTGGGTTTATCTGCTGCTGCTGCTGCTGCTGCAGCAAATGGTGATGCCACTCCCCCTGTCAATGGTTCCATTGAACATCGTGGAGCGCTGCGAAAAGACAAAGAGGAGGAGGAAGAAGAAGAAGATGGGTATCGGCAAAGGTCGAAAAAGCAGAGAATCATACTCCAGACTCTTCGCACTGCACACCTCCTCCGACCAAGTCTGAAGGTTCCACCGGTTATTCACCAGATTCTGCCGCATCCGTGGCCAATAGATCTAGGATAACTAGATCTTCTGGAACCTACTCTTCTACTCTTTCTGTCTCCGTTTGTGTTTGTGTTTGTGTTTCTTCAACAATGCCATTATTTAGGATAAATTACAAAGACCATCCCTCATGTTTGAAAAAATAAAAAATAAAATACACTAACTACAATTAGAAGATGCACTACAAATTTATCATTTTTATTTTAATAATTTTAAATTTATCTAATATACATTATCATTATTGATTACTTTTATTTTATTTTACATTAAAAGTAGAATTTTATAATTCTCGATTTGATTCGATGATTCGATTTACAATCCCACGTACGATTTTATTTTTAACAACTTAGAGATGAGATTAAGCTGGCAAAACCCTAGACACTCTTTGTGAGCCCAAAAAGTAGAATTTTACATTGAAAGTAGAATTTTATAATTCTTGGTTTGATTCAATGATTTGATTCACAATCTCACGAAGGATTTCATTTTTAACTACCTGAAGATTAATCGGGGCAAAACCCTAGACACCCTTTGTGAGCCCAAAAAATAAAAAATAAAAATTGAAGGAAAAAATTTGAGATGTCCCATTTAATTAATTTCTTATTCTTTTCTCACTAATAAATAACCTTCTTGAATATTGTCTGCAAATGCTTAGTTCTTTTCATGTAATAGATATATAGATAGGGCATAAAATTTGCATCCTTATATGCAGATGGAAAGTTTCATCGCCAACTTCCCATGGGCAACCCAAATATTTGTGAAAACAACCTTGCCATTGTCCATCAATCTGTCGAGCATCCTACTGTCAAAGAAGCATTTGATTTAGTCAGGGAAACTCTGCAACCAATTCTTTTGCAGAAGGTGACAAGAATTAGAAAAGACGAACTGACCGTTGAGTTTGGACTTGAAACAACTCCTTCAATTGATCTGTTGAACCTTGTCAATGCTTCAATACATGGACTGGAAGAAATCGGCGAAAGGGCTCACTTCGGAGTAACGTTGTTGGAGGAAGGACAGAAAAAGGTGAATGAAGGGAAGCATATTTTGTTCTCTACAATTAGTGAAATTCCAAAGCGGATCAAGTGAAATTGAGACCTTCAATTGGAAATTGTTTTGGCTTTTGGAGGTGAGCTTGCGATTGGTGCCTTGCCAACTGAGTTTTCATCTATGTTTGTTTTTTTTTTTTCCTCGTCTTTGGGGCCCTGTTGGTCAACAGTGCTTTATGTAGCATCTCCTCATATTCAATAAAAGGGCATTTCCATTATTGGTTATATGTAGTTTTTAAATTAATCAATTTAAGTCACACTTTCAGTTGTCTTTCAATATAACCCCCCCTCAATTACTTTTAACATTTTGGACCGGACTTTAACATTTTGGATGGACAAAAGTTACACGCTTTTTATGTGTAAATTTTATCAATTTCTCTACAAGAAAAAAACTAAATAAATTAGACTGATTATTCTTGTATACACAAGATTGCACCCTAGAGTTCTGCATTCATTCCAACTTTCTTTTTAAGCAAAGCGACATGAAATATCCAATGAAGGCTTGAGTTTCTCTACAACATATATGAGAAGATAAAATTTTGTGGTAAACAAATGTTCTTACTAAAATTATTGAATCACATTTATTGCTCAAAAACTCAACAAATATTTTAATGAAATTAAATTGCAGATCCAAAAATTCATGTTTCAGTTAAGTGACCAAAAATTTGTGAATTGAAACACTTGCTGGATACCCAAATTTGTGCTAATGGCTGAGATGATATGATATCACTTGACGCAACTAAACTCCGCTTTGATTTGTTGGAGAAATCACGACAAGAAAACACCTTTTGGAAAATGATCCGTGTTTGGTTTAATTTTTGGAAATTATTTTTTGAGTTTTTTTTTTTTTTTTTAAATAGAACCTAGTTTGACAAAAATAAATATCAAAAAGATATTTTTGAATTTTAATAAATTATTTCTATCCTCTAAAAAGATAAAACTATATGAAAATTATGATTTTTTTTTATTTTTTTCATTTTGTTTTTCCACTAAATTAACTTTCAATTTTTTAGAAATTTTTTTTTTTTTTGAAAAACTAAACGAAACTATTTTTAAAAAAATTTATAGAAGGATAAAGAATTTAGGACAAAAATGATGTGATAATGATATTTTTTTAAAATATAAGTCATATTGATAATTTTTTTACTTTAAAGTGAAAAAATTAAAACTCAACTCTAAAAAAAAAATTTCTTCACAAACACATGCATTATCTCTATCTTTAATAAATAAATAAATAAATAAAATTAGTGAAACTTCTTTCTCTAACTTTTTTGATCAGCAAAACATAAGAAAACTTCATTGATGACTAAGGGAAGATTACATCAATAAAGAAGAAACAAAAAGATGAGTGCAATACGCAACATGACGAATCATATGCAATCACACCATCAAGTTGGCGAGACAGCATCACAGAGTACCAGCAACACCCAAACTAATATCTATACAACAACAGCCAAACCCAACATAATAACTAAGTAGAATTAACAGAGCATAGAGCAACAGATACCAACACAGTGACCAATAGAGCAATCTGCCAAGGCAGATAAAACTAGCACCTATACTTCACAAAAGCCCACCTGTATCACTTGGAATATCGGATTTGCTGCCAATTAAACACCAAGTCATTTACTGTGTAATTATAATTGGGGTGATAATACCTGACCCAAAGAGCAATCCACACCTCTACACGATCAGAGAGCAAATCCAGCTGTGGATGCACACCTAAAAACACAAAATCATTCCTACATTTCGAGATCGACCACAGTAGAGTCAATGGAATAGATTTCCACACTGCTCCCTCAAGCTTTTTAAACTTAAAGCCAGCCCACCAGTTAAGAAAGCCCCCAATTGTTCCAGGAGCAATTTTGTGTAGTCACTACAAGAAAATTGGCATACAACGGCGTT